ATCACCTTAATCCCAAAACCGGACAGAGAACCGTCAGAGAAGGAAAACTACAGACCTATTTCTCTGATGAACATTGATGCTAAAATTCTCAACAAAATCCTAGCCAATAGAATTCAAAAAATCATCAGACAGATCATTCATCCGGATCAAGTAGGATTCATCCCTGGAATGCAGGGATGGTTCAACATTCGGAAATCCATAAATGTTATAAACCATATCCAAAAACAGCAAAACAAGAACCACATAATAGTTTCAATAGATGCAGAAAAAGCTTTCGACAAAATCCAACACCTCTTCATGCTAAAAACTCTAGCCAAAGTAGGCATAGATGGAAAAATCCACAACATAATCAAAGCAATTTATGAAAAACCCAACGCCAGTATCATACTGAATGGAGAAAAGCTAGAACCCTTCCCACTGAGATCTGGAACAAGACAAGGGTGCCCGCTATCACCACTGCTATTCAACATAGTCCTAGAGGTACTTGCAGAGGCCATAAGACAAGAAAAAGAAATCAAAGGCATACGTATAGGAAACGAAGAAGTCAAGCTTTCACTATATGCAGATGACATAATCCTATACATAGAAAAACCAGGAGACTCAATACAGAAACTGCTAGAACTTATACGAGAGTTTGGCAGAGTGGCGGGGTACAAAATTAACGAATGAAAATCAATAGCCATAGTGTACGCAAATAACACCAAGATGGAAGAAGATCTAACCAACAGGATACCATTCAAAATAGCAGAGAGAAGTATGAAGTCTTTGGGAATAAATCTAACCAAAAGCGTAGGAGACCTATTCGAAGAAAACTACAAACTATTTAAAAAAAAAATTGAACAAAACCTCAAAAGATGGAATAACATCCCGTGCTCCTGGATAGGCAAAATTAATATCATTAAAATGTCTATACTACCACAAGCAATATACATTTTCAACGCAATTCCAATCAAATTGCCCAAAACATTCTTCACGGAACTGGATACAATGATTCAAAAGTTCATCTGGAAACACAAAAAACCACGAATAGCTAGAACCATCCTGAAAAATAAGAAGTTAGCAGGGGGAATCACAATCCCGGACCTCTGGACATACTATAGAGCAGTGGTTATCAAAACAGCCTGGTACTGGCACAAAGACAGAAAGGAAGATCAATGGAATAGAATAGAAGCACCAAAAGGGAACCCACACAAATACAGCCAATTAATCTTTGACAAAAAGACCAATGGCAGCTCAAGCAAGTGGGAAGGCCTCTTTAGTAAATGTTGTTGGGGCAACTGGCTGATAGCCTGTAGAAACAAAAAAATAGACCCACATCTATCACCATACACTAAGATCCAATCTACATGGATAAAAGACCTAAACCTACATCCAGAAACCTTCAAACTCTTGCAAGAAAATGTAGGAAATACCCTGCAAGACCTAGGAGTAGGTCCCGACTTTCTAAGAAGGACACCTAAAGCAATAGCAGTTGAGAACAGAATAAACAAATGGGACCTCATCAAACTAAGAAGCTTCTGTACAGCAAGGGAAACAATCAACAAAGTAAAAAAGCAACCCACAGAGTGGGAGAAGATCTTTGCACACGATATAGGCGATAGGGGGCTAATTTCCAGGATATACAAAGAACTTCAAAACAACCAAAAAACCAAAGCAAACAAGCCACTCAAGAAATGGGCACGGGAAATGGGCAAACATTTCACAAAGGAACAAGTCCAAATGGCAAACAAACATATGAAAAAATGTTCCAGCTCCCTAGCAATAAGGGAAATCCAAATTAAAACATCGATGAGGTACCACCTAACACCAGTAAGATTGGCCCACATAAACAAGAACACCAACGACGCTTGCTGGCGAGGATGCGGGGAAAAGGGAACCCTACTCCACTGCTGGTGGAGCTGCAAATTGGTACAGCCTTTATGGAAATCAGTCTGGAGAACACTCAAACAACTCAAAATCTGCATACCATATGACCCAGCAATAGCACTCCTAGGAATATATCCAAAACACCTGTTTTACGACAAACCAACATGCATCCCTATGTTCATTGCAGCACAATCAGTAATTGCAAAAACATGGAAGCAACCGAAATGCCCATCAGCAGAAGATTGGATAAGAAAGCTTTGGTTCATCTACTCCATGGAATACTACTCAGCTATTAAAAAAAACAAAATGCAGTTCTTTGTGGCTAAATGGGCACAACTGGAAACTATAATGCTAAGGGAAATGAGTGAATCCCAAAAGATTAGATACCACATGTTTGCCTTGATTTAACCTGTAATTTTTTGTTTGGTTGTTTGTTATTTTTTGAACCTGTCATTGATACTGTCTCAACCCAGATGTTTCGAAGAATGGAACTTGCATTATTTTTAACATATTGTTTACCCAATACTATGTCAATTAATTCCATAATGTTGTATATTGATACTGAGGCCTTGTTGGGGCTTTTAACTGACTGGATCTTTACTCTGTTAGACCTATCTTCAGACCATAGAAGGTCTCCCCAAAAGGCCACTGGACTTATCTGGACAATAAGACGCTGAACTTTATGCTAGGCATGTGTTTGCAAGCAATGAATCTCAACTGAACTTGAACTATGGTTATGCAACAAGGTGGAGGAATCCACCATGGGGGGAGGGGGTGAGGGGAATCCCCAGCGCCTATAAAACTGTACTACATAATACAATGTAAGCAACAATAAAAAAAAAAAAAGAATTATAGGTCCAGTACAATGGCTCAGTGGCTAAATCCTCAACTTGCATGTGCCAGCATCCCATATGGGCACCAGTTTATGGCCTAGCTGCTCCATTTCTCATCCAGCTCCCTGCTTGTGACCTGGGAAAACAGTAGAGGACAGTCCAAAGCCTTGGTATCCTACAGCTGCATGGGAGACCCAGGGGAAGTTCCTGGCTCCTAGCTTCAGATAGGTTTAGCTCTGGCCATTGTGGCCACTTGGGGAGTGAACCAGCAAACAGATGACCTTTCTCTCTTTAAGTCTGCTTTTTCCGAAAAAAATAAATTGTTCGCTGTCCTGCAGTGATGGACTTGGTGCACGGAGTCGACAATAACATGCACGGACTACTGACTGATGATCAATAGCCGGGATTTGTTAGTGGCATCAGACTTTATACACTGAGGGTCATATGGGATAAGGGAGGAGGCATTGAGCTTATCAACAGACACTATCAACTGTTTTTATACGCTTTCTTAGAACTCTTGTTTTGTATATCCCACCAAGTGTTCTTATTTACACGCTGTCCACTCAGCTGTTCTCATACAAATGATATCCGATCAGTCACACAAATGGCATCCATCCAGTTGTTCCCATACAAATGTTATCCTATCAATTGTAACCCTGTGCTCATTGACCTTCTAAGGTCACAATGTCCTTCTACAATAAATAAAGCTTAAAAAAATTACAACGGTTATATATGTTAAACTAATAGCCAATATCAAACTGAGGAATGAGTGAGAGCATTTTTTCTTAGCTCTGGAACAAGACAGGAATGCCCACTCTATTCAACACAACACTGGAAGTATTAACAAAAGCAACTAAAAATCAGAAAGAAGTAAATGGCATCAAAATTTGAAAGGGGGAACTGAAATTATCCGTATTTGCAGATGACATGATGTTGTATATGGAAAAAGTAAACTCTCAATGGAAAAGTTGTTACAACTGATAAAACCAATTCAGTAAAGTTGCAGGTTACAGAATAAATGCAGAAAACTGTAGCTTTTTATGAAGCAATTTAGAACGTGCTGAAAGAGGAATTGAAGAAATCCCATTTGCAATAACCACAAAAAATAAAGTATTTTGGAATAAATGTATTCAAAAAAATGAAAACTGCCTACAATGAAAATTACAAAAACATGGATGAAAGAAATCAGCGGAAGAGAATTGCATTACATTTCACCATTTAGAATACATGGTGATCGTGTGTAACTTGTTAAATAACATATAACTTGGGCCCAGTGGCGTGGCCTAACAGCTGAAGTCCGCGTCTTGAACATGCTAGCATCCCATATGGGTGCCAGTCCTAATCTTGGCAGCTCCACTTCCCATCCAGCTTCCTGCCTGTGGCCTAACAATGAAGTGCAGGATGGCCCAATGCTTTGGGATCCTGCACCAGTGAGGGTGACCTGGAGGAAGTTCCTGAATCCTGGCTTTGGATGGGCACAGCACCAGCTGTTGCGCTCCCTTGGGGAGTGTATCATCGGTGCTTATGAAGTTGCAACAAAATTGAACACATGAGGCATAACAATGAATGCAAGAATTCTTCACACACAAACTGTGTGAAACCTTACAGAAACCCTAAAATCACAAGAGTTTCTTTGGCAAGTTATATCAACTATTTTACGAAATGCACTAAATGCAAATGACAAGTCACCAACTCTGTGCTCCAACATAGAGTTCAATAGGATCCAAACGTCAAGTGATTGCATCAATTAATTCAATGCCAATAATTTATCAACAAGTATGAATTTGATTGATATTCAGATTACAAGTAAAATATAGAAACATGAGAAATTTCTTTAAAGTAAGAACAAATGTGACTATTGTGAGAAAACAAAACTCTCACTCCAACTTGGAACAATCCAGAACCATCACTAAATTCCATCCTTCCACTAAAGCAAGATAGAAAAATGCAAAGAAGTGTTCTGAAAAAAATGCAAAACTGAAAAGTTAGAATTCAGTGCAGGAGGAAAAGAATGAATGAAAGTGAAGCAAAAGCTGTGAGAAGTCATGTGCCACATGTTAATTTGTCAGGCAAATATAACTTAACCAGATGCTTCCACAGGAGTTGATATGTGGCAGTGCAACCTTCAGAAAGGGCTCAGGAAGGTGGCTTTCTTGGATCTATTTAAGAGGACAATACTCCCAAAATATTGGAGTAACCGACAAGCGAGGAGGAGTTGAAAGTATTGCAAAAATCAGGATAAATGAAATGCTTTCTACACTCTCTGTGTGTCCAGGTTGGGGCACAGTGAGCTTTTCCTGGATGGCTCATGGAGGTGCACCAACAGAGGTGTCCAAGAGCCATTCTGAAATCCTGCAGAGCTCTGCTGAGCTCCGCTCTGCAGCTCCACGGCCACAGTTGAGGTAGCACAGAATGTCACCTGATTCTGTCTATTGTTGCTCAATAGCATTGCTGTGTGGCTGCACTGAATTCCATGGTCTGATCCTCCTCTGTGTGACTGCTCCTCTGCTTAGGTGGCTGTGGAAGAACTACCAATATGTGCTGGCCTTTTACTTTGCCATCCAGGAGATCAATAGGGATGACCACCTGCTCCCAAACAAGTCCTTGGGTTTCCAGTTGTACAATGCCTTGGCCAGTCACAGCTTCACACTGTTGAATGCCCTGCACTGGCTGACAGGGGACCATAGCTTGACTCCCAACTACAGGTGCCAGACACGGAGTAAGTCAGTTGTTGTCCTTGCTGGAACAAGCTCAGTGTTCTCTGCTGAAATGGGGACCATTTTGGAGCTCTACAAAATCCCACAGGTGAGTGGAATGTGAATTCTGTTGAACAAACTCTTAATCTCCTCCAAAGTCATCCTGACATGTGTCATGAAGTGATAAGGTAGAAGCATCTGGCTTCCATTTGGAACTCTCCTAGGACCATGACAGTGTCAAAGCACCCCACAGTGCCACTTAGATCAGCTGTCCCTTATGCCCTGTGCCTAACTCTTCCCTGCTCATATACACCCAATCAGATATCAACTCTGGATTCATAGTTAATTTCACAGGCTTCATTCAAAGTGAACCGTGTGTTTGTGCATGTGTGTGTGTGTGTGTGTGTGTGTGCATGCATATGTGTTTGTGTATAGCTTTGAAAGCAGAGAAATGAAAACAAACATTGCAATCAGTGGATCCCCTTTCAGTGGTTGAGTCATGAAAATTTGCAATGGTGCCAGTGTTGCCTGGCTGTAGTGAAATCCAGGGCCCTGCCATTCATTCAAGTATTTCAAATAGGGGACTGGAAGTCCATTTCACAGGCCATTGGTGCTGCCTCTCAGACTCTAAGCTTTTCAGAGATTCTACAAGGGCCCCCATGCAGACACATAGAACTCTGGAATACATAATGAACGGAGGAAATAGCCAATGATGAGTATAGGCTGAAAAGCCCTTTGACCAACACTCAGAGAGCATAGTCGATGGTATCCTTTAAGGAGAGTCAGGTGAAGATGTGAAAGCAGGTGAAATGGGAAGGATTAAATATTGACATTCTGTAGCTGTTGAGCTTCTGCATGTATTGATTGTGTCACACCTGGGAACTGGATCAATTCCCAAGAGGCTCAGGTTTCTGCCTTCATATGGCCTCAGCACTGGATCTTGTATCCAAAACTCAAGCCCCATCTGTTCTTATCCTGGATGATGAACTCACACATTTCCTCTAATGACACAAATGAGGTTTCCCATGTGAAACATGTCCTTCTCTGTGTTCCCACAGGATGCATCGTGGCCATCTCAACTGGAGATTTTCCTTACCCAATAATATTATGTTCTCTTTGTGAGACATATTTTTTTCATATGTTTCTCATGACAGCTAATGCTGATTTTCTTTCAGCTCACTTATGGTCCTTTTGATCCCATGCTGAATGATAAGAAGCAGTTCCCCTCACTCTATCAGATGGCCACCAGTGACAGCTCTCTGGCCCGTGCCATGATCTCCCTGCTGCTGCGTTTTGGCTGGACATGGGTGGGACTCTTGGTGTCTGATGACATGAGAGGAGAGCAGTTCCATCAGGACATCCAAGCAGAGATGGTCAAGAGAGGAGTCTGCTTGGCCTTTGCCATCAAGCTCCCTGAGACAAAGACAATGTATGAAAACTCTGACAGCTCTTTCCTTTATTGGCTCAGCATTTCCTCTGCAAATGTGCATATACTGTACAGTAACATCAGGAGCCTCTTTACCATGGAACACCTAGGTGCATTCTATCTAACCGTGGGGAAGGTGTGGCTCATGACAGCCAAGTGGGACATTGTTATGGATGAGACACATCACATGTTGCACTCTTTCCATGGGGGCTTTTCCTTCTCACCCAACAAGGGCAAAATCCCAGGACTCAAAACTTTTCTCAAGACAGTGAACCCCTCCCACTACCAGAAGACTTATACCTTGGTGATTTGTGGTTTCATTTTTTTAACTGCCTACCTGCTGGGTCAGGTTGTGGACACATAGGAATCTGCCGTCCCAATGTTTCCCTTGAAAATGTCCCAGGACACATTGACATGCTGACCGTGTCTGACTCCAGCTATTTTGTGTACAATGCTGTGTATGCAGTGGCCCACGCCCTGCATCGGGTGTTTCTGGAGAAAGAAGAAATGGTTTTCCCAGAAGACACAGCTCAAGCTCTCATTCTTCCCTGGCAGGTAAGGCTCCTCCACAACAGGACATGCTCTCAGCATCACATGGCAGTACCGTCTCACCAGGATATATTCATTTTGACATCAGCATGATAAGTCATGAAAGAAATCAGACTCTTTCTCATTCTGCTGTATTTCCTGGGACGATTCAGGGTAGCAATGTTTATAGCTGCTTTATAAATCACCTGACAGCGACAGAGCTTTTATTCTCTATTACAAACATGATAAAGTATGAGTGGTTTCCCTGGTGGGTCTGGTTCATTCCACAAAGTTTCCTAATCTCCAGTTCAGTGCATTTTGTTTCAAAGGTGAAGATTTTATTCTGTCTGGTGTCTGAGGAACATTCCACCTTGATAATACACCACCTTCTGTTTCTCCACTCATAGGTGTGGATGGACATATAGCTTGCATCCATATTTCAACATGGATTTGACTGTTCAAGGCATGTTTCCATGACCAGGGTTTATCATTTTTTCTTCCTGTTAGGCTTGTAAATACGGTGAGGCAAAACCTCACTGTGCTGATGTATTTCTGGTCATGTCTGTTTCATCCATGCAACATGCCTATTCATATCCATAACCCACATATTAATGGGATCATCTTCTTGTTATGATTTTCTCTATCCTGAGTATTTTCGGGATATCATATCTGGTTGAACACATATAAAGATGTCTACCTTCTTTTTTTATTGATCTACTTTCATTCATGGAATTGTTGCTACACTCTGTTGAGTACTGTCACACAAGTTACTTAGCTGGAGAAACTCCTGTGTAAGGTTTTGTTTATTGCGTTCTTGGCTGAGGTCAATCCTCATGCATTTCAATTTTCTCTAGTAATTAGATCGTTTCAGGTGTAATATTTAGTTTTTCCACAAATCTTGATATGATATCTAGATGTGGTCTGAAATAGAAGCCTAAATTCTAACATCTGCATGTAGAAATGTAATTTTCACAGCTTACTTTTGAATCCAGCTTGGTTTATTAAGAGATCATTTGCTAAATATGAGTTCTCTGAGCATTTGTAAATGCAATGCACCTCTCCTGATATATAAATAAAGTCCTCTGGATTTTAACCCTGCCTTATTACAACTTGTTACCATGTGAGACAATTGAGATACTACGATCTTCATGCATGTACAGTAAACTGTACTAATCAAATTAGTTGAGTTAATCACACAAAGGGAATGTCTCACAAAAGGCATGCTCACATTTTTGTCATTAGGTTTCTATGTAATTTGAAATCAAGAAAAATTGCTTCACTGTATAAACTCTAGGCCTACTTGCAATAAGAGCTCACACACAAGTTGGGACATGCTGGCCTCACATTTAAAGCAGTAAGTTAATGGATTATGAAGGTGAGCATAGAGAAGCTAATGGAACATTTATGAGTTTAGTTCACATCAGTGGAGACAGTAACAGCAAATTATCCTGAATTGAACTCATGCCAGAATGACTGCTCAGACCACTGAGCATTCGGCCATTATTGTCTCAGGGCATAAAGTGAAGGAAAAGGAAGAATTTCCTAGGCCATATGTGCCTCCCATCTCTAATTGGATTGCTTTCCTATTTCTAACTCTGCTTCCCATCCAGCTACATCCACTTCTGAGGACAACACAGTTCACCAACAATGCTGGGGATCATGTGTCCCTCCACAAAGCAACACCTCATCAGGAACACTACAACATTCAGAACATTGTTAACTTTCCTGCAGGCCTCCGAGTGATGGTTAACATTGGAAAGTTTTCCTCTGGGAGTGGACGTGACCAAGACCTGGTCATCAGGGAAGACATGATAGAATGGCCTGTTGCATTCAAGGAGGTATGGTTCTGGGGAGAATTCTGGACATGCTCAAAAGGCTCTGGGTGGATGAGGATCAATTTATATCTCACAACTTCAGAGTGGAGCACTGGTATATTAAAAAGTCACAGGGAACTAAATTCCGTGAGTCTAAGAAAATGCTTACTGCCAGCTTTCCTTACATCCACTCTACCTGGGTCCTTTAACAACCATTGAGAACAGGCAATCCTGGGATGATAGGGATGCAGGGACATCTGTCTTCTAGGCAGCTTACACAGTTGACACAGAGACATAGTTTACACCATGCATAGTTATAAACAACAAGTCACTGCTTCTAAAGTGTTGTCTAAGTCTCATGAACCTTCATTCCTTGTCTCGATGATAAGCTACAGTTCCTTGAAAAGGACAAAAGAAAGCACAGCGGGAGTGTGCTAATAGTACTCTGGCAGAGCCTGTAACATAGGCAATGTTCCAAGGGGCCAAATGTGCCTGCCTTCAGGGGCTTGTCTCCATGCACCCAAAAAGAACTAAAGCATTCCTCCCAAGGTTCACACCCCATTGACCAGTACTCAGCTCACACTCTTGTAAACTCTTGACTACAAGTTGTGTACTGAGAGGACTCTAATGGGAACCTTAAATAAAAACCCTGTTCTCATGTCCCATTTTGGCCCAGAGCTATGGTGCCCCTTGCACAGGCATGAGTAAGTGTGTATTTCAGATGCATGGAGTGGTTGAGTGACTTGAATGATAAACGGTGATGAATACAAATCCATTGCCATAGGCATACATCTGCATTAATGAAATGAATGTGATCAGATCCTGACACTATCTGGGAATGAGTTGGAAATCTTGAATGAACATCAAGAAACACTAAAGTCAAGGTTTATGTGCCATTAACAGGACCAAGACTGCAGAAGGCATGGTGATGCAGGTCAGTCTTGTGATGGTGATGGGGGAAACAGTGGCATCTTCTCCAAGTGTGTCGTGATGTGCCAAACCCTGACCAATGCTTCTTGATGCTCCCGCAGACTCCAACATCTGTGTGTAGCCAGAGCTGTGGGCCAGGATTCAGGAAAAGGCCAGAGGAAGGATCGGCTGTCTGCTGCTACACCTGTGTTTCCTGTGCAGAGGGGGAAATTTCCAATCAGACAGGTACAAAACACATAACCCACATATGAGAACTCCATTGTCTTAGGCATAGTGGCAGTGGCATCACAGTGCACTGTTGTTCTCCAGGCACACATTCACTCACTCTTTCAAGATAGGTGATTTAGTGTTACTAATGGCACCTCATTCTATATGACCTACTACCTAACAGTGCTCAGCTGACACGTTGATTCTGTTAGGGAGCCTCCATCACCATCCACTGCTGCATGACACAGTCTGCACCAAGTCCTTCGAGTAAATCACACTGAGTTCTAAACAAGAAGCAGGAGTTGTTTGTTGTCAGCACTGTGTGTGGATTCCTAGAAGGCATGAAATCAGCACTTTTCTATACACTGCTGACAAACATGGAACTACTGCACATACACATCATCCTCTTGTGCAATGAGGGCTCCATCATTACCTTCTACTGTGTACTGGGCTTCCTGGGCTCATTGGCGCTGGGCACCTTCACTGTGGCTTTCCTTGCCAGAAGGCTGCCTGACACATTCAATGAAGCCAAGTTCCTGACATTCAGCATGCTGGTGTTCTGCAGTGTGTGGGTGACCTTCCTGCCTGTGTACCAGAGCACCAAGGGGAAGGTGATGGTGGCCGTGGAGGTCTTCTCCATCTTGGCCTCTGGTGCAGGTCTCCTGGGCTGCATCTTTGTCCCCAAGTGCTACATTATTCTCATAAAGCCTGGAAAGAATTCTTTGAAAAGTTTAAGGAATAAAGCAGGTTTTAAGCATGTCTAAATATTTTTTGAAATGTTTTCACTATCATATTTGAAGAGATTGCAACAAAAATTGTACTTAGCTGCATTCAGGTGTAATATTATGTACTTCTTCATGTTTACTATTTGTGTGTAGTTAAGATAGCCTAGTAGGGTACATGGGATCCATGTTTGGTCCCGGCTCAGACCTGTACTTATGACCACCTCTGGGACATCCTGATTCTAGCCACCCAGCCTGGTCTGACTCCTGTTGTTGGCTTTAGACACAGCCCTGACACAGGCATTGGAATGGAGAGAGGCGATGTATAAAATGGGATGTGTTTCTGCTTTATTCCTTACCTTCTATGTCTCACTCTTGCAGAGTTAATGTACAGGCTGAGAAAACCTAAACTGAGAGTTATCCAAACCTCAGATCAGCATGAAGATACAATAGCCATGTCCCTTTATTTGAGCATGGCTCTTCTGGCAATGACAGAGTCTAAATCTCCCTCTTTTCATGTATCCTAGGCAAATAATGTTAGTGTCTATATAATGCTAAGACATCTTTGTCATACAGACTTTAGGTTCCAACATCCCACCCCCTGTCGGGTGTTTTTCATTTCTTAGCTGACACAATCATTTAAGTGAGATTTCTCTTCCAGCTTGAGTTCCTGGGTCACTTGGTCATGCAATGCCCTTCTGTGCTCCTTTTCAAGTTCTTCCAGAACATTCTCTTTGTCATAGTGAATGCGTTGCCCATGTCTAAACTTCACTGGTTGCAATATCTCATGTTCTTCAGCGATCTACATGGTTTTACCTTTGCTTGAAGGTTTCTTTATTGAATTGCACATGGTGACACTGGGCTGTATTGATTCATGTAAAAATATCACAGCCTCGAAGAGCTGCTTTCAGCTGGAATAGTGAGTGGAAGGAAAGTGCCACCACATCCATAATGCACTTCCTGATTTGGTACAGTTTGCTCATATGCCTGAACAAATATTTCCTCTCTGGATAGAACATAGTTCCATCACCCCATAAGTTATTTCTGTATTATATCCAATCACCACGACCTTAGAACATGCAAGTAAACCTGTTCTTCCATTTCTAAGTCATACTTCAAGCACATAGTTAGCTTCTTCATAAAAGCAATAGCAAGAGCTAAGTTAGTTGAGGAAATCATATCAAGTTTAGACAACAGCAACCAGGTATCTGTTAGAAGACCGCATCATCTAATATCTATTTTTACTTAGAAAACAATCCTTGGTAGATAATTTATTCTTGCTTATATACAATCCTTAGAAAAGCAACTGGGTATGCAAAGGTTTCAGAAATGTAATCATGTAATCTGGAAAAGCTGTGTCTTTAAGTACCTGAGGACTTATATTACTGTACTTACAACAATGAAATGTAATTATGTCCTGAGTAATGCACAAGTGACCAAAAGACAAGCTTTAGAACAGCTTATTAATCAGTTTTAAAAATGGCCTGAGTGATAGTTGATTGGTTAAAGTCCTCATCGTGCACGCACTGGGATCCCGTATATGGTCACCAGTTCTAATCCCGGTGGCCCTGCTTCCTACCCAGCTCCCTGCTTGTGGCCTGGGAAAGCAGTCGAGAACAGCTCAAAGACTTGGGACCCTGCACCCCTGTGGGAGACCTGGAAGAGCTCCTGACTCCTGGCTCAAGATTGGCTCAGCTCTAGCGATTGCATTCATTTGGGGAGTGGACCATTGGACCGAAGATCTTCCTCTCTGTCTCTCCTCCTCTCTGTCTTTCTGACTTGATAATAAAAATAAATAAACCTCTAAGAGGGTTCGGGGAGTGGTTGGCAGAATCCCAATGCCTATAACACTGTGCCACATAATGCATTTAATAATAATAATAATAATAATATAAAAGAGAAATAACTTTTAAAGTTAAATTTGAAATTTTGTTTTTGCCCCAAACATGGTCCTTATTGTAAGGAAAAAAGAACATAACATTCTCATACAAGAGTCCTAGTACAGAGACAGAAAACAAACTAATGTTGTGTCTTTTGAACTTTCCCTGGCGCTATCAATCACATGTCACTGTACAACTATGTATATATAATGTTTTTCTTGCTGGGCCTACCAGATATTATGTGATCTTTTACCAGGATGCATGAAATGTGAACAATGAATTGCATGCATTCGCAAGGTTTGACCCAATAAAACGGGACTTTCATTTCATTTTTCAGATCCTGAAATGTATCCCTGTGGTAAACACTTGTGAGACCCAGAAAGAGCAAAGTGTCAGGTGCATAACTGCTGGACTGAAATGGCTGAAGTGCTAGGATTGTCCTCCATCAGGTGGCAACCAGGCCTCTGTGGCAAAGCTTGCCCAAGGCTCCAGCATGAAAAGCCCTTTTGCAGATAGTTCCTACTCAGTCACTGATGGAGTTTACATCACTCCTCATTGAATGCAAAGATGCCCCCATCATTTTGAATAGGTGATCTTCTTGATAAAGTGTCACTTGAATTAATGAACATGATTGTGTGTGTGTGTGTGTGTGTGTGTTAATCCAACACTAACTCTAAAACTTCCAAGATTCTCAAAATGAACATAACATGTTAGTACCATGGGTAAAAACTTCTGAGCTGATACTCCACTGTGAGAAGAGGAGTTAGGAGAGTCCAAAGCAGGTTGTTTGTTCAGAGGTGTTTTGCTCGTCATGGACATTGGCAGGTGCACAGCCTCAGGACACAGTGATCCCCTGAGTTCTGAACACAAGGACCAGAGGCCAAGGCCTCACTGATGGGATGAACTGTGAAGCATCTCCCTTTGGACTTGTGTCTCCGTGTGGCTCCACAGACTTGCATACACTATCTACATGTGGAAGGCATACAGCAGGATTTGAGGTGGAAATGGGGGTGCCCTGCATGCTGCTTTAGCCTCCACAGAAACAGCTGAGAATGGGAACAAAAACCAGTTCCAATTCTCCTACTATCTGAAGGTGCTTGGGGCTTGAACCGTGTAATGGGTTGCTATACCAGGCATTGCCTGTGGTGTTTCTGTGCCTAATCCTGAATGTTTGGGGCAGTTCCCAGGACAGACATCCCCAGTACTGCTATAAGCCATTGGGCTCCAGGATCGATGCTGATGGAGACCTGCTGCTGAGTGCCTTTTTCCCCCTTTACTACATCAAACCAGATTCAGCCAGGATCTCAGTTAATGCAAGGGAAAATCATGAGTCTCTTTCTGTCCTACAGATGCAGAGCAGTGCATCCAGTGCTCAGAGCTGGAGTACACAAACAACGAGAAAACTCACTGCCTCCCCAAGCTGGTGACTTTCTTGGCCTTTGAGGATTCCCTGGGGATGGCTCTGGCCTGCATGGCTCTGACCCTCACTCTCCTCACTGTTATGGGGTTGGGGGTCTTTGTGAAGCACCAAGACACACCCATTGTGAAGGCCAATAACCGCAACCTCAGCTACATCCTGCTCATCTCACTCCTCCTCTGCTTCCTCTGTTCCTTCCTCTTCATTGGCCATCTCAACACAGCCACCTGCCTCCTAAGACAAATCACATTTTCCCTGGTGTTCACAGTGGCTGTTTCTGCCGTGCTGGCCAAAACCATCACTGTGGTTCTGGCCTTCAAGGCCATGAAGCTTGGAAGGACCATGAGGAGATTGCTGGTGTCAGGAGCCCCAAACGCTGTCATTCCCATCTGCTTCTTCATCCAACTGACTCACTGTGCCATCTGGCTGACAACATCTCCCCCCTTTGTGGACAGAGATGCACACCCTGAGCATGGACACATCATCCTCTTGTGCAACGAGGGCTCCATCACTGCCTTCTACTGTGTGCTGGGCTTCCTGGGCTCATTGGCCTTGGGCACCTTCACTGTGGCTTTCCTTGCCAGGAAGCTGCCTGACACATTCAATGAAGCCAAGTTCCTGACATTCAGCATGCTGGTGTTCTGCAGTGTGTGGGTGACCTTCCTGCCTGTGTCCCAGAGCACCAAGGGGAAGGTGATGGTGGCCGTGGAGGTCTTCTCCATCTTGGCCTCTGGTACAGGTCTCCTGGGCTGCATCTTTGCCCCCAAGTGCTACATTATTCTCATTAAGCCTGAGAGGAATTTGTTCAAAAGCTTCAAGAAAACAACAAATTCCAAGGGAGTTTGACAGTTTTCTTAGGCGTTTTTTACTGAATTACATTCAGATTCGAAAAATAACAGGGGTGACTTTCTCTCTTAATACTACTTGTGCAAAGTACGATTAGCCTAGCTGCTGCATAGAATGAGCGTCCAACTCTGGCTCTGACCTGTTCTCTGATCTCTGTTTGGGTATCCTGGTTCCAGACCCATGAATTGGTTTGACTCCTATTGTTGGTTCTTGTCACAACCCTGAAATAAATATTGCAATAGACATATGTGATATAGAGTGGGAAGGGTCTCATTTTCTCACGATTCTCTGTGTCAATCTCTCTCAAAATTAGTAATGGGATTTAGAAAAATTTCTTGTTTGAGAAAAAAATATTCATGATGTAAACCAAATCTGAGGTCATGTACCAGATACAATAGCCTGTCGCTTTATGTTATATGTTTTTTCCTGCAATGCCAGAGATTGAATTATTTTGGATTATTTACTAATGTGGGGTCAATATTGTATATTTGGTAAGTCAATTTATACTCACTGGTTTTATGGTCTGCACCCCTGGCTTGCTGAGTAGTTTTTGGCCTACAGGCATTTTAAGGGATTTTTTTTCCAGGATATAAATTTTGCTTAGTGATGCGAACACTGTATGAGCACCGTATGAACACTGTATTGGCCCAAAGCATCTTGATCAATGCTGCCTTAACACTGTTCTACAGCATTCTCCTTATCACTTTGAATGGATTGTTCATGTCTACATCTTACTGATACCATAATTGTATGTTCTTCATCCCATACAGCTTTTTGGCAATACCTCTGCTTTATAAGTTTTCTCTTCAATCGCACATGTGCACACCATGTTGTTTTGATTCATATTAAATCTCACATCCAGAATGAACAGGTTTAGGTTGACGCACGTATGGCAGGCAAGTATCGCCACACTCCTGGGACACATCCTGATTTGGTACAGTTTGCTCATATGTTTGCATAAGAATCTCCTCTCTGTGGCCTGGATGTGGTTTCATTACTCTGTAAACAAACAACATACACTCTCCAATGCCCTTGGCCTCAATTTAGGCAACCAACCCTCTCCTTCACTTTCTAATTCATCACACTGCCCATTATTTGGCTTATTCAAGGAACTAAGGACAAGAGCAGATATTAATTAGATTAATGGAAGATATCAAATGGACTCTAGACAACAAGAAGTAGGTACAGCATTCATTGTTACTATTTGGTTTTTCTTTTTACCCACAAAAAAATGTTTGGTAGCTCTTACATTCCCAAGTATCAATCAACCATTAGAAATACAATTGCAGTAGGCAGAGTGTTGCAATGATGTAACTATGAATTTTGCAAATGCCAAGTCTTCAAGCTTCTGAAGACTTACAGAACAGTTGTCTAAACAATGGAATATCACTTATGTCCTGTAGGATGCACATGTGAACCAGAAGACAAGGTCTTCATCATATTCTATTAATTACCTGTAATCAGAAAATCAGAATCTTTGCAATTGCTCACAGAGATCCTCACAATCTCAAATGAAAATTATATCGTCATGTAAGCATTCAGGAAGAAACAGAGAGTGAACCTGCGTGATTTTCTTTTTAACTTTACTTGAGTTATTAATAGCATGTAGTTGTAGAACTGTGTGGATTCCATATGTACATATCGTTCAGAATGGGCTTAGCACATAGTAGAAGGTATCTTTAGTCAAGACAGGTGAATTTTGAACAGTTTATTGCATGGATTTATACACCTTGACCCAGTAAAACTGAACTTTCATTACACTTTTTAAACTCTGAAAACTACCCCTTTGGATAGGGCAAATCCAAGTGGCAAATCCATGCCTGCTGGTCTGAATGGCTAGGATTCTCCTCCATAAAGTGTCAACCAGGCTTGTGGAAAAGCTTGCTCAGAGCTCCTGCCACACTAACCCCTGCAGTTACTTCACACCCAGTCTGTGAGGGAGTTTACATCACCCCCATTGATTGGAGGGGTGCCCCTACCATGACCGACACTTGATATTCTTGACAAAGCATCATATGAAATAATGAAACTGAGTGTGTGTGTGTGTGTGTATTAAACTTCCTAAGCTAACTCTTTCTAAAACTTCTAAGCCTTTCAAATATAAATATTATCATCTGGACCCAGTGTACAAACGTTGACAGAGCTACTGTCCCAGCTTGCAGTGCGAGAAGAAGGGGAACCCAAACAAAGCAGGTGTTTTTAGAGGCGTTTTGCTCCTCATGATCAGTGGCAGGTTCAGAGTCTCAGCTCACAGCGATCCCCTGAGTTGCTGAAGGAAACACGAAGCAATGTAAAGTTGTAGAAGCCACAGCTGATCTGTTCACAAGGACATCAGGGCAAGGTGTCAGTGCTAGGGGTTCCACTGAAGGGTCTACCTCTGGATTTGTGTCCCTGTGGGCTCAGTAAAATTGCATACACTATCTACAATTTCAAGTTATTCAGCAATATTCCAAACAGTGGTGATCTACAGTCAGGTGGACTCTTGGAAGAAAATGCTCCAAGCTTCACAAGGAACCCAAGACCACAGGAGAATTCGCCCCACCCTGGGAAGCTTACTGAGCCTTCTGCTTTCTTCTTTCACCTGAAATACATGCTCTCCAGGGCTGCTTTTATCTCAGTTTCCTTGGAAGTGGATGAAGGTCAAAGGCATATATGCAAATGAGAATATCCAACTGACAAGAAGAGGGTTGAATGCACTAAACAAGCTGCTGTAGCATTCTATCAGTGATTGCCATGCACTCAAGTGGGAGGCATTCTGATCCTGCCTACAATGAGGGACTGTTGAATCCATTGGGAATACTCTATAATGTAGCTTAGAAGATGTCCTGACGGGCCAGGTGTGGTAGCTTAGAGCATAAAGTCCTTGCCTTGTACAAGCTGGGATCCAATATGAATGCTGGTTCTAATCCCAATAGCCCCAGTCGCCATCCAGCTCCCTGCCTGTGGCCTGGGAAAGCAGTCAAGGACAGCCAAAAGCCTTGGAATCCTGCACCCATGCGTGAGAACTGAAAGAAGTTCCTGGTTCCTGGTTCCTGGCTTCAGCACAGCTCCAGCTGTTGCGGTCACTTGGGGAGTAAATCAGTAGACAGAAAATCTTCCTGTCTATCTCTTCTCCTCTCTGTATCTGACATTTCAACTAAAAATATATTTTACAAAATGTTTAAAAAGAATATGTCCCGAAGCATAGGCTGTAATGCTGAAAACTATCCTCTCTACAATAGGGGAAAAATCAGTTTTGTCCATAGATAGAATTTTTTTCTAGATAACTTGCAAGCTGAATGTCCAAACTATATACATTGGAAATGTACACTGTGAATGTGCCAATCTAAACCCAGCTTGGAATGGTTCATTATGGCTGCTAGAGTATTCAACATCCATTAAGACACAGTTGTATCCCCAAATAAGTGGGAAGAAGAAATTTAAAGCAAAATCAGAAGATAAAGCAATGCATTGGCTCATGGACATTCAAGTGTAGATTCAGTGTCATGTATGATTGAAGATCCGCTATACATGAATAAAGACATTCCAACATAGATTAATAATAAATATTTATTAAGATGCATTTAGTCAATCCAGTGTCCCCAACAGAGTAACACTACATCACAAACAGACTAGTGTCACTGGCAAAGAAATCACACATAACTTGCAGTGCACACGCTGGGCTTACAAAACATAAAATCTGTGTGACTTGGATGTCATAGAAAATATGAACAATTACATTATTTGCACATGACAACTGAACAGATTGCAATTCAGTCTCTATATTTCATCCTCATTGTAGCTATAAATATGACAGCAGGACAAGAAAAAAAATATGTATTAGAATCTCCTAGAGAATGTTCTTTTCTTGAAACTTTCCAAACAATTCCTCTCAGGTCTTAGGAGAATGATGTAGCACTTGGCAAATGTGATTTGTCTTAGGAGGCAGGTGGCAGTGTTGGGACAGCCAATGAAGAGGAAGGAACAGAGGAAGCAGAGGAGGAGGGCTAGGAGCAGGATGTAGCTGAGGTTGCGGTTATTGGCCTTCACAATGGGTGTGTTGCGGTGCTTCACAAAGACCCTCAACACCATAACAGTGAGAAGAGTGAGGGTCAGAGCCATGCAGGCCAGAGCAGTACCCAGAAAATCCTCAAAGTCCAGGAATGTCACCAGCTTGGGGAGGCAGTGAGTCCTGTTCAAGTTTGGGTACTCCTGCTCTGGGCACTGGACACACTGTTCTGCATCTGTAGGAAGAGATAGTTTCCGAGTGTCCATTTTGGAAATTCAGAATCATTCCCTGTTGTGAAAAAGGGTCAGCTCTGCAGTGCGCCTAAAATATGGATCAGTTGTGTTGTGTACTAGGGCACAATAGAGCCAGGTTCTGCCTTTCTGACCTGGGCAGAGTGCTCATCTGCTGATGGGAAGAAACACATTCAAAGATATTTTAACAGACATCTGCTAAATTATGCTCATTCTGTGACCTGAATAGGATCCCTTGGACATGGGTGCTTCCAACCTTCACCTCATCCATCCCTTTCAGTCTCCTTCATATCAAGTTCTGTGTCACCATTGTGTATTGCCTAGGGACATCAAATTTGTAGGCTTCTCTCCCAGATGTAAGCAGAACCAAACACCTATGGCAACCTTACTAAAAACAATGCTCTCAGTTCTCATATGGTAAATGACAGAACATGTGCATCCTCATTTAGCATCTTCATTCTCTTCAAAAACTTTTGTTCAATTTTCTATGTGATGTTGTGTTTTAGTTTATTGAATAAGTGAACGTTGGATTTGAACTTATATGTTTTAGTGGTGGGAAATCTGGGTGTTTTGTGATTTTCATCAAGTTGCTGATGGAGACATTCTATTTTTAAAGTTAAACAATATCGTTACTTTAACAGAATTTATTTTACTCAACGTGCCCTTAGGTGTGTAATAATTCTTAAACTGTAATTCTCAATCCTCATGTAAATGTGATATTCACACAAGCTGAAACTATTCCATATGTCCCTGACATGGAA